TGGAGTTTGGCAGTGCTGTTTCTCCATCTTTTGAACATATACTTTTGACCCACCACCTGAGATGGCCGCAGCATCTATCTCACAGATGAGATTCATCCCAGATATTATATTTTATCCCTAGTTTAACCCTTCCTGACCAAAGCTGTGGTTTTCTCCGGCTGGTCCAGAGGTGAAGCGTGGCGCCTTTTCCGCTGGCTGAGAAGGAGCAAGGGGGCGGCAAACTTCTAACTTGCTGAGCCTCGATTTAAGACATAAGGGGTCAAAAGCAATCAAAAGAGTTTTTGCTGTGACAAACCATGTGGGCGTGGCCAAGCATCAAAATCAGACTTTGCGCCATTAGAGTATGACTAAACTGCCTCAGGCCCTGCTTTTATTAAGGATTATTAAATTTGTATAGCCGAACACGATGCTCAAAAAAGTATATTGGAGCCATGGTCCACACCCAACAAGAAATGGGCCATTTTGGATCAAAGATACCATTTTCTTTTTTTAGGTCATGACATATCTGAGGGAAGGGCTCTTGGTTTTTTTTGAGTTTGAGACTTCAAATTAACTTTACATGGACTATAGTCATAGCAAATTAAAAGTTATCAAAATTATTATTCTACATGGGAGCATGTGGGCGTGGCTAAGCATCAAACTGTTAACTCCAGTCATCCAAAGCCATGCTTTTAGGAGGAGGAGAAGGATGATGAGGATGAGAAACAAACAGCAGTAGGAGATGCCGTGAGAGCAGCAGCAGGAAGAAGAATATGAAGAGAAGGAGCACAGGGGGAGGAGGATGATTAGGAAGATAATCAGCAGAAGGAGAATGGAGGAGGATTAAATGAAGCAGGATAAGGAGGATGAAGAGGATCAGGAGAAGCAGCAGTAGGCAGGGGATGAAGAGAAAGAGCATCAGCAGGATGAGGAGAAGGAGATGCAGCAAGAGCGACAGCAGGATGAAGAGAAGGAGATACAGCAAGAGCGACAGCAGGAGGAGGAGAAGGAGACACAGGAAGATAAGCAGAAGCAGGAGGATGATGAGGAGAAGCTGCATTAGCAGGAAGATGAGGAAGATGAGGAGAAGCTGCAGGAGGAGGAGGATAAGAAACAGTGGCAGCAGCAGAACAAGAAGGAGGGGGAGGATGAAGAGAAGCAGCAGCAGGCATAGGCTGAAGAGCAGGAGCATAGGCTGGGAAGGAGCGTGGAGGTGGAGGTCGCTTGGTTCCCGCGATCGCAACATACCAGGCGGTGCGAGCTGCGAGGGCCGCCCAATGCCACTTGTGGCTTTAATTATTATTATTATTATTATTATTATTATTATTATTATTATTATTATTATTATTATTATTATTATTATTATCTGAGGCAATGAAAATATAATCAGTGACTTTCACCAGAGCTGTTTTAGTGATATGATGAGCTCTAAAGCCAGACTGAAACTCTTCAAAAAGTTCATTATGGTGTAGTTTGGCAACTACTTTCTCAAGAATTTTAGATAAGAAAGGAAGATTGGATATAGTTCTATAATTGACCAAGTCATCTGGGTCAAGAGACGGTTTCTTAAGCAGAGGTTTAATTACAGCAACCTTAAAAGCCTGTGGTACATATCCCTGTAACAGAGATAGATTAATCACATCTAAAATGGAGGAGGAGATCAAAGGGAATACCTCTTTAAATAACCTGGTTGGAAATAGGGATGGGGATCGAAACCCGGTTCCATCAAGGACCCGGTTCCACTTTTTTCAAAACCCGAAAATCAATAACGTTAGGGCTTATCGATACCACTATCGAGTCTGGCCGTTTTTTTGTTTTTTTTTCTCCCGGAGGTCCTGTAACATAATTGTGTGTCCCTCAAGTCGCGAAACAGCATTTAAATCTAATCAATCCAATCACTGCAGCATGTCCACCAATGTTTTGGAATTAAATTGTAAGCAAACAGATATTAAAAGTAAAACAAGTGAAGTCTGGCAGTTAACTTCGCTCGCGACTCGGCTTCATTTTACCAAGCTCAAAGATAAAGAAGAAGCGAAATGCAACTTATGTTGCAAAATCATGTCTTTTAAACGGGGGAACACAACCTCAATGGCCAAGCACATTAGTGTTGTGCATCAAATAAGGCCAAATGCAGTACCTTTGACTGTCTCCTGGTTGAAAAGACTCCTCCTCCTCCTGCGGCTGCTGCCGCCGCACCACAGTCGGGCCCGTCTTCATCGTCCACTCAGAGTACCACTGGTAAGCGCACACACAGACTCCGTAGCTTGTCCGGTCAGTTAAAAATAGTAATTGTGAAATCCGTGTTGTAATCGGCAGCATACAAGCTAGTTAGCTTGAAAAGTAAATAAAGTTTTAGACGTGCTGCGTGATGATGTGTTCAGATTGGCTCAGTAAAACGACAATTAGGTTATCATGATGCGTTCAAGTGTAACGTAAAGAAAAGGGAAATTGAGATTTTGGCGAGAAACATGAGTAATACAGTTGTATATTGCTCTAATTATTTTAGAATATATAATTAAACTACTGATGCCAACATTTATTAAAAATTACATTTAATTTAAAATACAATTATTTATTTGCTAAATATTTTCCTAATCACTAAAAACATGATGAAAAGTGACAGTAGACAATACATTAACCAACAATTGTGAAAATGTATATATTTTTTTAAACCAAAAGAAGACATTTCTTCAAAATATAGGAAATTTCTTCAAATAATTTTTTTCCCCCACTTCCTTTCTGTCTGTTAAAAACATATTGTCGCATCGTCTTTCCACCAAATAACAGAAAAGTATCGATAGTGGTATCGATAAAGACTCGGATCGATAAGGAGTATCGATAAAGGTATCAATATCAATAAATATTAACGATCCCCATCCCTAGTTGGAAATGGATCTAACATACAAGTTGAAGGCTTAGATGAAGACAATAGTTTTGCTATCTCTGAAAGTTCAATTGGATCAAAGCAGTCTAAACCAAGCTTAGATTCCATGACTACCTCAGATGCTGCCTCACCTTCCAGAGACAACCCAATCGTGGATAGAGGAGTGCTAATGATCTTATTTTTAATAAGATCCATCTTATTTATAAAGAATCCCATAAAATCATTACTGCAAAGAGCTGGTGGAATGGACGGTTCAACTAAGCTATGGCTCTGGGTGAGTTTGGCAACTGTATTGAAAAGATATCTAGGATTATTCTTATCCCCCTTTTTTAATGAGGAGAAATATGCTGGTCTTGTTTTACAAAGGGTCCTCTTATACAGCAGTAAACTATGTTTCCAGACTATGTAGGATTCCCGTAGGCCTGTGGAGCGATATTTTCTGTCCAGTTTCCAAGTATTTTGCTTCAAATTGCGCAGCTCTGCATTAAACCAAGGAGCAAGCTTTCTATTTTTAACTGTTTTCATTTTCAAAGGGGCTACATTGTCTAAGGCATTACGCAGAGAACTAGCAACCCCATCAACAAAATCATCAACCTGTGAAGGGGAATAAGCTAAGCTTTTGCACTCTGCAGCACTGCTCAGCGACACAGAGGAGAGAGAAAGTGAAGCAGATTCTTTAAAATGTATAACTGCACTATCTGATAATGATCTGCTAAAATTGAGCCTTCTTTTGAGGGTGGAGAACTCTGTTAAAGTAATCCTGAAGGTTATTAGAAAGTGGTCAGAGAGGACAGGGTTGTGAGGAAATACTGTTATTTCTTCACATTCTATGCCATATGTCAGCCCAAGATCCAAAGTATGAAGATGAAAATGTGTGGGACTATTTCCCTTTTGAAAAAAGCCAATATTGTCTAAGATATTATTAATGCTGCTCTTAAGCTATCATCTTCAATATCAGCATGGATGTTAAAACTCCCCACTATGATGACCTTGTCAGTATTTAATACCAAATCAGAAAGGAACTCTGAAAACTCATCTAAAAATTTAGAGTAAAGACCTGGTGGATGATACAAAGTTACAAAAAGAAGAGCTTTTTTAGCTTGTCAATTTGAATGAGGGAAACTAAGGGTCAAATGGTTGGGTTAAAAGAGTTGTAATTATTAACTGCCATTGGAGTAATCAGTAAGTCACACTGAAAGATTGTTGCTACTCCTTCTCCTCACCCAGAACCTCTGGGTATGTGGAAATTTAAATAGCTTGAAGGAGTTGCCTCATTTATGCTGACATAATTCTCTTGCTGCAGCCTAATTTCTGTTCGGCAACATAAATCAATGTGATTTTCTCAAATCAAGTCATTAACTAGCAGACTTTTGGAGGAAAAAGATCTTATGTTAAGTAGACCACATTTAATTGTTTTAACTTATCCCCCAATTGGAGTTATTTTTATTAGATTATCATGATTTACTCCTTTGGGAATCTTTGCTAATTTATTAGATTTTGGTTGTGGGCAAGACACTGTCTGGATGGAGTAAAGAGTGGGTAACAGTAGAGAAGCTGCAGAGATGTGTGTTAAACTACAACTCTGCTTCCTGGTCTGCACCTTGGGGGGTCAGGGTTTTGGAGGACTAATAAATGTAGCCAGATTCCTAGAAAGAAGAGCTGCCCAATCCAAAGTGGGATGGATGCTGTCTCTCCGAATCAGACCAGGCTTTCCCGAAAAAGATTGCAAGTTATTATTATTATTATTATAATACACTTGACTAGACCAGACTATTCTATTCTACTAGACAATACTCTAATATTGTCTAGTAGAATACTTTGTATAGACTTTTAAGATGCAAAATGAAGCTTTCTAGAAAAAAATGTTGTCTCACATTCTTGATTTTATTTCATGCCATCAAGACCAGTAATAATAAGTTCTTTAGTGGAGAAAAAAATCGTGGTTCAACCAACCTCAATTCACAGAAAAACACTTAATATGCCTAAACCCATACTAAAGAAAGCGAGAGTAGTGAGAGGGAAACACTCATTTGTCCTTCTGTTTTGCTTAGATTTCAGTGGGAATTTACACCTTGATGTTACAGATAAATTAACATTTTTTTTTCTTTGTGGGCTATGTTTCTATGTTGTTCTTCAGGTCCAAAATGCTAAACAGATGAACAGTGGGCTGAAACAGCTGTTGGAGTCTGGGATTGAGGAGTATAGAACGACTGAGGTAAACACATTCCTAACTTCCAAAAAAAAAAGCATATTTTTAAGTACACCAATCAAGTATACCATGATTATCAAATGTGAACACCGGTCATGGACTGAAGACCATTCATTACAACAAGCTATTGAAATCAAATTAAAAGTGCTGTATCTGCACCTTTAAAGGCACCAGCCACAAGAACATTGTTCTTATGTTGAACAAAAGTTCAACATAAGATGTTAAATTTTTTTGTCCTTTTTCATCCACATTATTTACTCAGAGAGATCACCAGAGTCCGCAGTGCCCACTTTTGCTGAAATCGAGATGTTATCAGTTCTGTTATTGTTAAGCTATAGACACAGCCTATTGTATTTGTGGTTATAACTGGTGACTTAAATAATATATTCTGTCAATCACACAGGCAACAGTCAGGTGTCCCCCCCAAACAAAAATACCTTCCTCTACAGACTCCCAGATCTCTGTCGGTAAATCCCCTCTTACTTTCTTAGCCAGCATATAAACCCTGCAAAAGCATCTATTGTGCCCTGCCTATTGTTTTCCTTTTTCTTTAAATGTAGTTCTCATTATACTTACTATATGCACTCACTGTGACATGGAAAAAAACTTGGATTAGAGATTAAAAAGTAGTACACAAACGCCATGACCCAAACTTAAAAAATTATGTCCTTTTAGGAAAGCAATTCAGTCTAATTTTTATCTGCTTAGAGCTAGTGCCTTTTATCAGGGCAACCTGTATAACTGTACAAAGATGTTAGCAGGGAGTTTAAGAAGCCCTTAAAAGTAGCTTTGATGCTATAGACTTGCACAGTGCAAGCTACACGGAAAGAACATTGATACAATGACTGAGTCTGTGACTAACCACAAAACTTCAATTAAGATAACGTTATGCCAACTAGAATACTACTGCTTCCCCAGAGACATGAAAGTTTATACCAAAAAAAACATCTTTGAAGTAGCCTATTTATTTGACCCTTTACAACTAAAACATAATTTCATGAGCAGACTGTCACCCCAGTAGACATGGAAAGAGGCTGCCAGTCTTCCCACTTTCTGGAGCTAAGGAAATACTGCAGGAGCTTCGAGGATCTATGGGCATGTAGCCTATTTTCCCTGAATGTACTTTGGATTGGAGGTTAAAGATGCCATCATAAGCCTTTTTGTCCAAACCCACCATCATTTAGACAAGCCAGACATCACTGTGAGGAATGGTATCTCTGATTTCTCCTAGTAATTTCACACTATTCAGTCTAATATGCTTTTTTTGACACTCCAAAAGATTTAAAAGAAGGCCTCTACAGTCGGTTGGTTTAAAGACTACCTGACAAACAGACCACAGTTTGTGAGATGGAAGGGTCGACTGTCCAATTAAGTAGTCAGCAGCACAGGATCGCAAAAGGGAACGGTACGCTCACCATTCATTTTGGCTCTTTATACCTCTGACTTCAAGTACAGTAAAGCCCAACCATAATGCACCCCCTTTTCTTTTAACCACTGGTACTTAATTGCAAAGACTACCCCTGACCCACTAACCACACAATCTGAAATTGAAGCCACAAAGATAAGGGCTTTACAACCATTCCTAGGAAATGGGCCACTCATCGCTGCATAGTTGATGCTTTGGTACTTAAAGGACAGCTTATTTACATATGCACATTCATAAGATCCAACATAAGAAAAAAGACAGAGCTTTTTTTTTTTAAGAAAAAAAAAACAAAAAACCATTGAACTTGAAATAATAAAAAAAGGTTTAATTTGATCTTGGTTAACTATCCTTTTCCTTTATCACATGATTCGCCTTAAAAGAGATTATTAAACTGAGCTGACTATTTATAGTTTAAGTGCAAAAGCATAGGACAGAATAACACAGTGCATTCCCATATTTTGAACACACATTCCATTACAGAGCAAGTAACTATCTTAACAGGTTTTTAGGTGCCTTTTAAAAAAGCAGCCCCAGAAGGAATATTTCATTCCCGCCTCCAGCGCAGACACAGACTGATGCCTTCTCTCCCCCGCTCCTCTGTCCCCAGCAGTGTGCCCCTGACCCTCTGCTGTTAACCTAGTGCCTAATCCCTGCTAGCAGTAGCCTCTCCTAGCTCTGTCTCAGTGGCTGGCTTCTTCTTTGTACTGCTACTACTCACAACTTCCGCTGGTCAATAGCTAGTCCTGGGCAGCTGTAGCATTTATCTTTTAGCCTCTCCCCAGCAGGCTGCTTCTGAGACTGGCAAACTGATTACCTCTCTCTCCGCTCTGCTGCCCCCTCCTTCCGTGGGATTCTCAGTTCTCCTGCTCTGTGAAGAAGGCCAGTGGCTGAAAGTTGGAGGCAAATTTGGATTTTGACTGGGAAGGGCCATTTTGAATGGCTGCTACTGTAGAAGGATGGTTTCATCTAGGAATGGGAATCGAAAACCGGTTCCTGTTCAGAACCGGTTCTGTGTGTTCCAATTCCATGGCACCGTTCGGCAGCTCGCTAAACGATTCTCTTAATGATTCCAGGCAGCAGCAGATCCTAGCGCTGGGCAGCAGGACTTACATCACGTTTTTTTACGCAAGTTACGCACACAGTATTCAGTAAGCAAGCACGACGTGACCAGGAGTAAATCTAGAAAAGCAAAACAAAAGCAATCGAAAGTTTAGCTTCATTTTAAGGAAGAGAAAGATGGCAAGAAGGCGCTTTGCAATCATTGCAAAGTGGCAATTACATCAGAGGAAATACATCCAACATGCAGAAACACCTGCTCACACAAGATGCCATACATTTTAACGAATGCCATGTTTTTGATGCTTCTGGACAGAAGCTGAAGTTACGACCGGCATGGAAGGCAACTCTGGTGGGAAGTAGCTAGTTTTATATCACTGGCTTTGCTTAATGTGGTTCCTAGTAAATCATTGACCATTACTAGAAATAAGCCAGTTTCCCACCTCTCTTTGGGGTTATTAAGGGAGTGTGCCTTTCTCGTTAATCCAGCCCTTTATTGCAGTTCAGGAAGCGAGAGAATGGTAATGTTCATTTACTTAAATCAGGGAGAGATTAGTTTATTTTCCGAAATTGTAGAGTAATGCTTTTTCATTAAACGGATGCCTTACCCATAAGAGTTAGATGACTGTGAAGAGAAGGGTAGCCCGGCTGGCTCAGAGGCTGGCAGCTCACGTTCACTGTCTTCTGTTTTCGCCGAGGCGGGCAGAAATAGAATATCACAGGCTAAGGTAGACGAATGTCACTGTGCACTTACCAAATTCATTGTTTCACAGAACCGATTAGAGAATCGATAAGGAATCGAATCGTTTTACAGAATAGAGGGAATCGGAATCGGGAAAATCTTATCAATTCCCAACCCTAGTTTCATCTCCCACCAAATGTACCAGGAAGTAAGCTAAAGGGAAAACTTCATTTGGGAGAGGAGAGCTCTGTTTAATTAAGTTTGAAGGTTACTAAAAAGTGGTCCAATAGGATAGGGTTGTGAGGATATAATATTATTTCTTTACAGTTAATGCCATATGTCAGCACAAGGTCAAAAACATACAGATTAGAATGTGTGGGACTGCTCACATTTTCAACAAAGCCAATCAAGTCTACGATAAAGGCTATCGTACACTTACCTTTAATGTTGGAATAAATGTTAAAGGTCCCCACTATAATGACCTTCTCACAAAATTAAACTAAATTAGACGTGAAGTCTGAAACCTAATCTGAAATTTGAGACTAATGGCTTGGTGGACAATAGTTATAGAAATCAGTTTTTTTGCCTTGCAATTTGGTGAGGGGAAGATAAGGGTTTGATCTTCAAAAGATTTGTATTCATTGGTTTTGGAGTTGTCAAAAAAGCAGACTAAATTGTTTTTACTCAACCTCTTGTCCAGAATTTTTGGGCATGTGAAAATTCAAACCGCTGAGGACAGTTGTCTCATTTGTGCCAAGATCATCCTCTTGCTGCAGACAGGTGTCTGTAAGATAACAGATCAATCTGATTATCACAAAACACAAATAGAGTCATTAACTAACACATTGGGGAAAGTAAATGCAGTGTACTTATATTAAGTAAGCACATTTGTTTTAACATTTTTTTCCCAGTTAGAGTCATGATTTTATTTGAATTATGATGACTTACTCCTTAAGGATTCCTCTCTAATAATTTGATCTTGGCTGTGGGAAAGACACTGTTTTTAATGGTTACAGTAGAGAAGTTGCATAGACTTGGTCTGGATCTGGGATTTCAGGTTTGTTGTAATAATAAATTTGGTCAGATTCCTAGAAAGAAGAGCTGCATTATCCATTGATAAATGCTTTCTCTCTGAATCTTACCAGGTTTTCCACAAACAAATCTGCCAGGTATCAATGCAGCCTGGATCATTTCAGGACATTACTTTGACAACCTTTGTCATTGTTCTTCTGAAAAAAAAGCAAATAGACTCAAAAGGGTTTGAACTAAAACTTTCACATTTTGAATGACAATCAAAGATTTGGTTCATTTATTAATTTCAGAACTATTTTTGGTGTCTGCTTAGTCATCTTGGAACAGGTGCCGTTTTGTACTCAGCCTGGTTCTTGAATAGAACATTCTGTTTTATGATTTTGAATCCTGTCCTTTGCTTTTCTAGAATACCCAGAAGGTGAATGCCCGATGGACTACTGATGAGCAGCTTCTAGCTGTTCAAGGTAAGCTTTGTCTCGGTCCATACCAGCAGTTTGCATGGTTGCACTGAATGGCTTTAATCTTAGTAAATGTTATAGTGCTCTTTAAAATGTAGCTAAAGGTGGAGTATACAACAGTTTAATCTGTCTCTACATCTTTTTGGCGAGATTACGTTAGAGGTAACTAGACTTTTTCTCAGTTCCTCAGAGATACATGTGCTTGAAAGTTGAAACTGCAATCCTGCTGTACCCCTTTTTCCAGCCATCTGACCTGCTTAATACTTTAGGTGCAAGTTTATGGGGATGGCTGGCTTTCCTTTGTAGACCCATGCATTTATGTATTTGTTTGATTTCTCAGGTATAGAAGTCTGAGCAGTTCTTAGCCCCTTTTATATTGAAGACACTGGGAATTTAAGCCTTGGGATTTGTATTACCCAGTAATACGAGTCTCTTGGAATTTGTCAGCATGCTGTTACGGGCGGGCAATAAATCAAATTAAAATAAATAAAATCAAGATCATGATAAATTGGGCAGTTTTACCTAACGACACGATAAATGCATGATAAATGCTTGATAAATTACATTATATATTTCATTTAAATATTAAAGTCTTGTACCCTTTCAGGTTTAGACATTCAACAACGTCTCATTGAACAGGAGTTAAACGTTACCTCTCCTGCAAACATTTTTGCGCACAGGTAATGAGGCCTGTTGCACATTTTGAACTCAACAGCGTGGTTGTGCTGTAGGCGGTGGAGGTTGGATGCCTTACTTTGGGTATTCCCAACAGTTTTTAGGCAAATTCTGTATTTTGTGTTCTTTTGCTCAACATCTATGGCGTGATTTTTGTGCCAGTGAACTGAGTAAGCAGTGAGAACAATTAGTGGGTACCTGGAACACTCAGCCCTAAATAGCGAGTCTGAATTGTGCAGGCTCGCTGGAATTTGGCATAAGGGATAACAGCGGCTTGATGGGAGAGGACACCCGTGCATTTAAATATAAGTTCCACCGTTTAAGTTAAAGGGGAACACCATTTTTTTTTTTTGTTGGCCCCTTGATTTTACCCATATTAGTTTTGTGCCCTTTGGAGCTGTTCTGAAGATATTCGGTTTTGTTAAATCCAAGTAACATCTTCCTATGGGCAAGGACTTGAATGCACAAACTAAACTGTTCATAATTTATCATTTATGGTACGCCAGCATTCATAACATCACGACGACTCACACATTTTTATATGTATATTTTTTTTAAAACAAAGCGGCGTGTGTATGACGTCATCCGCTCGCGCCGGCTACCGTTCATTCATCCTGTCCACTGAACTGCTGCTAGTTTTCCTCACATGCCTGGAAGATGTCTAGTGCGTCTAGAGCGTAGCCGCCTGTGGCTGCCTGTTACGATTCCAGTGCGCATGTGCGGATGTGATTCACACTCTGCTTTGTTTTTAAAACATAAAAATATAAAAAATATATGATTCGTCATTATGTTATGAATGCTGGCGTGCGGATGACATCATACATACTCCGCTTGACCCATACTTGACCCATATGAAAGACTAACTGCCTTTTCCTTAGTCATCCTCTGAATGAAGCAGGGAATTAGAGTTGAACACCCCCATGCTGAACCCTCAGAGAGCCTGTAGTGACCTGGTGTAAAGGACAATATTTTTAGACCAAATTAATTTTCACTGTGGTGGATTCTAAGATGCTCTTAATTACCAGACACTGACAGAAACTGCCAGTGCCTTGTGCTATGGTTATATGATGGCTTTTTCTTTACAGGACACAGTACCCAGCCACCTTTTTGAAATCGTGGGTATCAAACTGTATAGCACAGCTCCCCGTCTTTGTTCCAGTATCCTCTTGAATGCTATTGTGGTTAAATCCCGGAGCTGCAAGTAGAAGCCTCTTAGAAAAGAAAAGAATAATTAAAAAGTTAAATCATCTTACAAATGTGAAAACACATTTTTTTTCCTTTTATACTTTACAAAATTTGTTTAACTTATATCAGAGGCTGTTTAACTGTTTCGATGTCAAAATTTGAAAATTATAAATGTTTTTTGTAAAAAAATACCATTTGATCACAACTTACAATAAGAACTGATTTAAAGAAACAAATACTAAAAAAATAATGAACAGGGGGTATAATGAGGGTGTCTGCTGTTGTTTATTATCAACATTCTGTTAATCTTCTTTATTTCATATTAAAGTAAACAACAAATAAGCACAGAAAGACCCCAGTCGGCCTCGGCAGATGGCCGCTCACAGTAAGCCTGGTTCTGCTGGAGGTTCCTTCCTGTTAAAGGGGAGTTTTTCCTCTCCACTGTTGCTACAAGCATGCTTAGTGTGAGGGATTGCTGAAGAGTTTATAAGTCGATGCAATCAACTAGTTTTCCGTAGATAGAAAACTTTGAATCATTCTGACTGAATGATCTAGTTGAATTGTCTCTATAAAGTGCCTTGAGATGACATACACTATATTGCCAAAAGTATTTGCTCACCCATCCAAATTATTGGAATCAGGTGTTCCAATCACTTCCATGGCCACAGGTGTATAAATTCAAGCACCTAGGCATGCAGACTGTTTTTACAAACATTTGTGAAAGAATGGGTCGCTCTCAGGAGCTCAGTGAATTCCAGCGTGGAACTGTGATAGGATGCCACCTGTGCAACAAATCCAGTCGTGAAATTTCCTCGCTCCTAAATATTCCACAGTCAACTGTCAGCTGTATTATAAGAAAATGGAAGTGTTTGGGAACGACAGCAACTCAGCCACGAAGTGGTAGGCCACGTAAACTGACGGAGCGGGGTCAGCGGATGCTGAAGCGCATAGTGCGAAGAGGTCGCCAACTTTCTGCAGAGTCAATCACTACAGACCTCCAAACTTCATGTGGCCTTCAGATTAGCTCAAGAACAGTGCGCAGAGAGCTTCATGGAATGGGTTTCCATGGTCGAGCAGCTGCATCCAAGCCATACATCACCAAGTGCAATGCAAAGCGTCGGATGCGGTGGTGTAAAGCACGCCGCCACTGGACTCTAGAGCAGTGGAGACGCGTTCTCTGGAGTGACGAATCGCGCTTCTCCATCTGGCAATCTGATGGACGGGTCTGGGTTTGGCGGTTGCCAGGAGAACGGTACTTGTCTGACTGCATTGTGCCAAGTGTAAAGTTTGGTGGAGGGGGGATTATGGTGTGGGGTTGTTTTTCAGGAGCTGGGCTTGGCCCCTTAGTTCCAGTGAAAGGAACTCTGAATGCTTCAGCATACCAAGACATTTTGGACAATTCCATGCTCCCAACTTTGTGGGAACAGTTTGGAGCTGGCCCCTTCCTCTTCCAACATGACTGTGCACCAGTGCACAAAGCAAGGTCCATAAAGACATGGATGACAGAGTCTGGTGTGGATGAACTTGACTGGCCTGCACAGAGTCCTGACCTCAACCCGATAGAACACCTTTGGGATGAATTAGAGCGGAGACTGAGAGCCAGGCCTTCTCGTCCAACATCAGTGTGCGACCTCACAAATGCGCTTCTGGAAGAATGGTCAAAAATTCCCATAAACACACTCCTAAACCTTGTGGACAGCCTTCCCAGAAGAGTTGAAGCTGTTCTAGCTGCAAAGGGTGGACCGACGTCATATTGAACCCTATGGATTAGGAACGGGATGTCACTTAAGCTCATATGTGAGTCAAGGCAGGTGAGCAAATACTTTTGGCAATATAGTGTATGTTGTGAACTGGCACTATAAAAATAAACTGAATTGAACTGAACTGAAAGTGCTGAGACATAAAAACAATCAGCTGATCATACTGACGGTGTCACCATTAGACGGAGCTAAACTGGTTGGGAAAAAAAAGCAAAATGGAAAGCTGGAGAAAGACAAAAAAATAGTTTTTAAATAATACTTAAAAAATATTAATTAGCTCACTCATGAGTCCTTTTCAGTTGTCACCATTTCAACATTAAGTGTGTTAGCCATAAAAAAAAAAGAAGAAAATGTTGGTTAAAATACAATGCTATGTGCTTAAGCAGTAGATAAAATATTCATATAACTTGTGTTTAGGCAAAGTACTTAACCAAAAACATGCATGTTTAATCATCAAATCAAGTTTAAATAAGTTATTTTAAAGAATAAATAAAAGATAAATTTAGTTTCCATTTGACTAAGCAAAATATGATACATTTGGTTTTCATTTGACTTAGCTTTTGTTTATATTTTCATTTTAAAGCAAAAGTAACAGAAATTTGATTAAAATGTTATCAGTAGGTTTAGGCGACATATGGAATATACTCTATATTTAGGCCCGAGCAGCTAAGCGCTGCGAGAGCCTATTGCTCCTGTATCGTTTATTCTTCTTCTTCTTTTTATTTTTCTCCGCTTAAATGAAACTGATTTTTGGGGGCTTAAACATGTTCAAAAACTCACCAAACTTGGAAGTAAATTGTCCCCCTAGTGAAATTTACGTATGATAATGGAATTCAAAATGGGCGTCGCCAAATGCCTCTACAGCGCCCCCCTAACGTGAGTTGGGGAAAACCGTAAGTCACAGAGATTTGAGATTTGGCAGGTACATAGATCTCACCAAATCATGAAAAAAGTTACATTGTGGGTATGCTCTAAAACCTACAGGAAGTCGGCCATTTTGGGTCAAAGGCTGATTTTTGGCACTTTTTCAATTTTGTTGACATCGGCTTCAAACTTGGCATGTATGCAGATAAGGCATGTGAGATCTAAACTTCACAAACTTTTTGAGTTTTTGAGCATTTTAAAGGGGTGTGGCCAGGCCTCGAAGTCGGCGTACTTGCCAACATTTTCAAAATGCAATAACCTTTACATATAAAACTGAAATGACACGAAACCTGGTAGTATTAAAGGAAAATTCCGGTTTTTAACACTTTTAGCCCATTTTCTGTAGTGTCCAGGATGAAATCGAATGATCGACACCAAAATTTTGACAATTGGTCCTGTCTCTGCTATTTGGCTCATGCAGAATCCCCCCCGGCTGCTTCAGAATGGCTTCCATAGTGCATG